CAGGCAAGAGGTGGAACACCTGGAGAGCTGGTGCAGGAAGAACAACCTTCACATCAGTGTGAAGAAGACAAAGGAGATGGCCATGGACTTCAGAAGAAACAAACACACCTACACCCGCCTGAACATAGGAGGATCTGTGGTGGAAGTGGTCTCCAGCTACAAGTACTTGGGTGTGCACCTGAACAACCACCTCAGTTGGAGCAACAACACCACCAGCCTGATCAAGAAAGCTCATCAGAGACTCTACTTCCTCAGGTGGCTGAGACGAGCTGGTCTGTGAAGCTCAATCCTCACCTCCTTCTATAGGTGTGCAGTGGAGAGCATCCTGTGCTCCAGCATCAACGTGTGGCATGGAGGCTGCATAGCTGCAGAAAGAAAAGCTTTGCAGAGAGTGGTGAAGGCTGCACAGAAGATGTTGGAGTCACACCATCACAGACATCTACACCTCCAGATGCAGGAAGACGGCCACCTTCATCATGAAGATGTTGGAGTCAGCCTCCCCACCATCACAGACATCTACACCTCCAGATGCAGGCAGAGGGCCACCTGCATCATGAAGGACCACACTCACCCAGCACACACACTTTTTGCCCCACTACCCTCAGGAAGGAGGTTGAGGAGCATTAAGTGTAGAACCACTAGACTGAGGAACAGCTTTTACCCTGAGGCTGTTAGACTCATGAATCTCTAACCAGAATAATCACTGTGAAAAAATCACATCATGTTGCTGCTCATTTGTTTCAATGTTGATGTGTTCATGCGTGCTCATCTGCTTACACAGACTCATGTTCATGTTCGTGCTGCTGTTCAAAGTAATGTTTTATGCTATTAGTGCTTAGTGTATATTTAGTTTATGTTTTTCTTAGTTCATATCTTAGATGTTATTACTGTTTTTCTTTTACATTTTATTGTTGGATGTAACTGGGACCCTGTGAACATAATTTTGCTCCACCACATGTACCACATGAGGTGCGAATGACAATAAAGAATCTCTGAATCTGACTTTGGGGTGATCAGGTTCCACTCCCTCACTTGTGATCTTGTCTCCCAAGAAGGTCATCTCTGTGACACCAAAGAGGCACTTGTCTCTATTCAGTTTCATTCCGTTCTTTTTGACTCTCCATAAAAGCTTCTCCAGTCTGTCGTCACGTTGTTGTTTTGTATTTCCCCAGACCACAAGGTCTTTTATATAGACTCTGGTGCCTTCCAGCCCTTCTATTATAGTCTCCATTGCTCTGTGAAAAATCTCTGGAGCTGATTTAATACCAAATGGGAGCCTCAAGAAACTGTAACACCCAAATCTTGTGTTGAAGGTAGTGGATCTGCTGCTTTCTGGATCCAGCCTCAGCTGCCAAAATCCATGTGATGCATCCAATTTGCTAAAAAAAACTTAGCCCCTATCATTTCACTCATTATTTCTTCTCTTTTTGGGATCTGATAATGCTCTCTTTTGATATTTTCATCAAGATCTTTGGGATCAAGACAGACTCTTAAAGCACCTGTATTCTTTTTCTTGACACGCGTGATGGACTTCACCCAATATGTGGGCTCCTCTACTCGTTCAATGACACCCAATTGAATCGTTCTTTCCAGTTCCCTTTTCAAACCAGCCCTGAGTGGTGCAGGAACTCTCCTTGGCGCATGCACCACCGGCACGGCATCATCCTTGAGCTGGATTTTGTAAGTGTAAGGTAGTGTTCCATGTCCTTTGAAGACTGAAGAAAATTTACTGACAATGTCTGAACTTTCTTCATGTTGTTGGTGCTCCAGTCTTTTGTTTTGTTTGGCTACTTCTATGTTGTCTTCTACGTTAATCTGATAGATCCTCTTTACCAGTCCTAGGTCCTCAGATATTCTGTCTCCTAAGAGTGACTCATGTCCATTAGGCACAATGGTGAATAATATGTTATGCTGTCTGCCTTTTACAGTTTAAGTCTGCATCCACCTTTTATTTGTATTGGTTGGTTATTATAAGCCCTGAGAGGTGTGATTTGTTCTGTATTTAATTTAGGCTTTTGAGTCAGTGTATTAAAATCCTTTTCACTGATCAAGTTAGCTTTGGCCCCAGTGTCAATTTTGAAAGTCACTATTGTCCCATTAACTAGTAGTGGAGCAGTCCATTTGTCTTCTGTGACCGTGCTTACAGTTTGACCAGTGTTTATTTTTGAAGATTGTCTTTTGACATCTTCATCATGTGACACCATCTGAATGAAAAATGTTTCACTTAACATATCCCTGTTGTCTGTGTCTTCCTGCACTGCGTGGACTTCTTGTCCTCTTTTCTTGGAGAGACACATTTTTAGACTTAGTGGACCAGCTAGCCATTCCTACTCAGACAATTCAGAACACTCTGACAGTGACTGGTTTAACTGGACAAAGTTTTGCCACGGTACGCCTCAAGGTACAAGGACAGCACATCATCATTTCTGGTAACCACCACGAGAAGTTTGATTTCTTTGTAATTGACTCCCCCATTACTCAATTGGTTTTGGGGCTTGCTTGGCTAGAAAAGCACAAGCCTACTATAAACTGGACTGAAAGGAGAGTTGATAAATGAAGTACATTCTGTTTAAAGAACTGTTTGCATACAGCCATACCTAACACCCCTGAGATGAAACAAATACTCAAACAGGCTGACTTATCCAGTGTTCCTACTGCATATCATGACTTGGACTCTGTATTTAATAAAGAAAAAGCATTATCATTGCCTCTGCATCGTCCTTATGACTGTGCCATTAATCTTCTTCCTGGGGCTCCTCTTCCTACCAGTAAATTATTCAAAATATCTGGTCCTGAGAGAGAAACTATGAAAAATTACATTGAAAAATCCCTCGAGTCTGGTATCATCAGCCCATCTACCTCTCCTGTAGGGGCAGGATTCTTTTTCGTGTCCAAAAAAGATAAGACCCTTCAACCCTGCATAGACTATCAGGGTCTTAATCAGATTACCATAAAAAATAAGTATACCCTGCCTCTCAATGACTCTATTCACGAACAATTACATTCTTCTACCATCCATCCATTATCTTTACCCGCTTATTCCATTTTGGGTCACGGGGGTCGCTGGTGCCCATGTCCAGCAATCACTGTGCGAGGGGCGGGGGACACCCTGGACAGGTCTCCAGTCCATCACAGGGACACATAGAGACAAACGAGACAAACAAACATTCACTCTCTCACTCACACCTAGGGACAATTTAGAGTTACCAATCAGCCTAACATTCATGTTTTTGGTCTGTGGGAGGAAACCGGAGTACCCGGAGAAAACCCACGCATGCACGGAGAGAACATGCAAACTCCACCCAGAAAGGCCCCTGGACCGGGGTTTGAACCAGGGACCTGTTCGCTGAGAGGCAGCAAAGAATATAAAATACATCCAGAATATAAAATACATAAAGAATATAAAATACATAAAGAATATAAAATACATAAAGAATATAAAATACATAAAGAATATAAAATACATAGAGCAGAGTTAAGGATAAGCGAGTCTAAAGAGATGTGTTTTCAGAGTAGTCTTGAATATAGAAAGAGAGGTGGTGTTTCTTAAGTCAGGGGGTAGAGAGTTCCAGAGGTGAGGGGCAGAGCAGGTGAAGGCCCTGCTCTGCACGGTGGAGAGGCGGGCAGAGGGTACATGGAGGTGTAGTGAAGAGGAGGATCTGAGAGAGCGAGAGGGGATGGAGATGTGTAGGAGGTCAGATAGGTACGGAGGGGCAAGGTTGTGGATAGCTTTGAAAGTGAGAAGAAGAATTTTGAAGACGATGCGTGATTTAACCGGGAGCCAGTGGAGCTGCTGCAGGACTGGAGTGACGTGGTTATAGGAGGAGGTTTGAGTGATGACACGGGCAGCTGAGTTCTGGACCAATTGCAGCTTCTGGAGAGATTTGTTGGGGAGGCCATAAAGAAGGGAGTTGCAGTAGTCAATCCGGGAAGTCACAAGACTGTGCACAAGGATAGCTGTGGAGCGGGGTGTGGGAGAAGGGCGTAGACGGTTAATATTTCTGAGATGGAAATAGGCAGACCGAGTGACATTGTTGATGTGTGAAGTGAAGGAGAGAGTGGTGTCGAGGATGACACCAAGACTCTTGACCTCATGAGGGAGTTTTTCTTTCCACTGTCACCTTCATGCTTGTTCAAGATGAGAGTTCTGCGATTGAGTTAAATTCAAAGCAGTCTGCTCCTCAGATAAATAATGTTTAATTATTATATGAATGTTTCTGTTAACTTATTTTATATATGAATGTTTCTGTTAACCTATTATTTTATATATGGATGTTTCTATTAACCTATTATTTTTATATGTGAATGTTTCTGTTAATTATTATTTTTATATATGGATGTTTCTATTAACCTATTATTTTTATATGCGAATGTTTCTGTTAATTATTATTTTTATATGTGAATGTTTCTGTTAA